TGCGAATTGTCTGCTCCAAAAACTACCCTTCTAAGTTAGATCTACAGGACACCATCACTAAAAATATTTTCTTGTCGCTCTGGGGCTTGTGCATGTTGTAGCACTGAGGGCAAACATTAAGTTGATTGATTAGCGGCACCTCTCTCCAATACTTCGAAGTACAATTTAATAATGGCTCAAATATTGACAATATAAATGACTGACCACAATCATGTCAGAATGGCATTGAAGTCTAAATTTGACAAACAAGTCGACATGCATGTGGATAGAGAGGGCACCGACAGCGGTATCATCATACTTAACTATATTTAATATGATGGCATCGCTGTCGCGAGCTTCGTTCAAGGGAGGAGTGCTTCAAGAATAATCTTCGTGCAAGCTTCGCTCGTCAGTTTAAAAGCCATCAGAAATTCTATAAGTACTACAGGTGATGCACTACCATACACTACGAAGATATTTTACTGCCCGTATTCTGCCCTGGCATGAGTTTTTACCAGGATAGTTTATCCGGTTAATTCATCAGGTCCGGTTAAACATCCGGGCAACGAAATATTCTTAAACATACTATGTTTTACAGTGAAGCTGGCATTCAACTGAGATTATGCATGAGCTACGTGAAAGTCTTCTCTCAGACCAGGGACGGAACCAGCACTAAATTCTGGGGGGGGCGAAAAAAAACGCGAAAATTTTGGCTTCAACTATCACAGCGCAATCCTTCGCTCTGTCATCCTACTAAACGCGTCAATAATTCCTCCTTTGTCGATGGAATTTATGAGGTCTTGCTCGATGGCGAGAGAAAGCAAATCCGACAGCATATCGTGAGCAAATGTAGTTCTTAGACGTGTTTTTTTCCTCTTTTCATCACTGAAAAAGATTGCTCAGTGCCCGCCGTCGACACGTGTAGAACACACACTAGACATACGAGCCTGTAAAGTGTAGGGAACTGTTCAAGCAGCTACTTAAAGCTTAAGCACTGACGAGGCGCAGGGCAAGTCTGTGATTGAATCTATTTAAAAAGAGCTCTGAAAAAATCTAGGGGGGGGGGGGCGTGCCACCCCCATCTTATATGAAGATCCGCCCCTGTCTCAGACTATTAGCAACTATGTGTTGTCTACATCACTCCACTCGTCGTTACCCTGGTCGCCGTCCCAGTCGATCAAAAAATCATACGTGTCAGCGTACTCGTTAATGTCTTGAGCTAGGTCTTCAGCTGACGCTGCATCACCAGGACTCGCGTCGTCGTCCGATGAAGAATCTTCTTCCCCTCATATTCAACTGACTCTAAAGAGCTGTCGAAGCCACCCCCTCGTCGTATTCGTCCTCAGAATCCGCAGGGAGCCTCGAAATTAGATAAGTCTGGTGCCGAAGGAAGCTGAATGCGCGGAGGGCGCTGCTTTTTACGGCGAAGCCCACGTGTTATACTACTCTGTCTTTGCGCAAATCGAGTCGACATCCTAGCAATAGTCGCTACAAAGTGTCGAAGGTTCGGATGGGGCTTGAAAGCTGCATTCATTTCCCTGTTGAATCTTTATAAGGGGTTATTGGTGCGGACTACAACTGTGTTGGCGATATCAAACACATTCCACTCCGTTATGAAGTATCGCTCAAGCCAAGTCTTCCTGAAGTAAACCCAAAAGCTCCTCCACTGTTGATGTGAATACAAACACCCTATAGCTTCACATCGTCGTTTTATTTCCAATTTGACCCAAGCGAATGCCTTTTCGGTTAATTAACCCTGGGTCAATCACCGTTAGAGCGTCGAGAACACCGAGCTCCATTGCGATTGCAGCTTCTTCTTTCGAGATACGCTCGTTCTTCATGTGTCGACCCAGTGCCTGTTTAAAGTGAAGAAAAAAAACACCCCACTACTTCAGCGTTTGGAAACTGATACTGTACCGAAGAAATCAAACTGAACTTAAAGTCACAAACTATCTCCGCTGGAGTCATCTACCTGCCAGTGCAGCGGTAGATCATTTGAAGAACGGCTTCATACATAGTCTCCGTCTTGAACGTGCATAACACGAAATAGACAGGTGTGAACACGTTGCGCGCAGGATCATCAACCTTGACAATCAAACACTGATGAAATCCTCTTGGCACACATCGAAAAGCCCCGTCGATGAAAAGCGATATACTGTTGCACAGCAGTAGCGCTTTTATTGCGGAGTGTGCCCACCCAATAATTCGGCTAGGCGGCTCTTTCGGATCGGGATGGGCCGTAAGAGGTGGAAGCGAGAAAACAGAATGGCCGAATCTTTGACCTTTGAGCAAGGGGGGACTTCAACGACCCCGTGACTATCACCACAGTATCAATGACGAACGCGTCCGACACGACCAAGAACCTGCTCTTCTGTCAGTCCTTCTAGAAGTTCTTCTCTGTCAGCCCGTAGATATCAGCACATACTTGGTCCCAAATGTCACCGTCTGGCATCCCAGGATTCACCGTAGCTAGTCGATCTGTCATCTTCTTCATGGTGTCCGTTTCATTGGCAAGCCTGCCATTTACCACAACACCTCGGCGACAGCTGTGATCGCACTCTACGTGCCACTCAGCCCTCGGTGTTATCGTAAGCACTGTCTTGCTGCTGCAGCGGTAGGCAATGTTTTGCTGGAGTACCATGACTTGCAATAGCGATAGCCTCTGTAGATCTTGATTGTTTTTGAGCCGCATTTCTCTTAGGTCGAGGTGCTGGTCGAAGTGGTGCAGGTATGGCCACCACCGCGTCTACGGAAAGCTGAACGGAGTCAGCAGGATCAGGCAGCGCTAGTGACTGGTGCTGTAGCAGAATACCGCTTGAGTCATCAGATGCCTTGCGGTGCTCGGCACGTTTTTTTTTGGTGGCACTCGAGCGTTCTGGAGTGTCTTCTTGTCTTGTAAACAGTGCGTGTGTGTGTGTGGGAGGGGGGGGGGGCTGATGTTTTGGTCTTGCTCGGCGTGCAGGATACCTTGAAGTGAGCCTAGAAGCAAC